CTTTTAAACCCCCCCCCCCTTTAAGACGCCCCTACCCCCCGACACCCCCCCAACCCCCCACCGCTTTTGGCAGGGGGCAGCATGATGAACACAACCACCCGGGCGCCCCACCCTGACGGGATGATCATGGAGAGCCCGGGCACACGGGCAGCCGCGGCCCTCGGGGTTCGCGAGGAGAGGGGAACCTAACCCCCCCCCCCCCCCCCGGCCCGCCCGCCCGCCCCATAGGTGCCCATGTACTGCCGCAACTGGGACGAGTGCTCCGGCTTCGCTCTGCGGGGCAAGAGGAACCGCACGCGCCTCAACGGCCAGCCAATCGGCTCCTACTCCTCCTACTCCTCCTACTCCTCCTATTCGTACGGCGCCGCCCAGCCGGCGATGACGAGTCGCGACGCGCCGCTCGCCCCCTCCGAGCTCTCCTACGGCGGCGCACCCGCCGAGGGCAGCGTCGAGGGCGGCTCCAAGCTCGGCTCCGTCGCGGACGGCGCCGACCCGCTCGAGCAGGCGAAGGCGGCATTCGGCTTTGGCGAGGCGGGTGTCGAGGACGTCGGCGAGGCGCGCGTGTAGTGGGCCTCCGGTAGGCGGCCTCGGCCAGCGGGTGTGGGGAGGTGTGGGGAGGGAGCACGGCCCGGGAACACAGCCTCCGTGCCCCCTCTCCACCTCTCTTGGCCCCTTGCTTGCCCCCCCAGGCTGGCCGCGTCGCGGGCGACGTCGGCACGGGGGCGGTGGCGGCGGGCGCGATCGTGATTGCGGGCGCCGTCGGGCCTGCGGCTCAGCAGATCGCCACCATCGCCATCACCGAGGGGGTGCACGTGCTGATTGGCTCTGTGCTCGCCCTCGTCTCGGGCCTCGTCATGATCACGCGCCTCCCGCAGCTGCCCGGCGCGCGCCATAGGAGGAGTGGCGCCCGGCGAGAGGCGGTCTGCTCACGCCCCTCGCGTGTGAGAGGGCAGGCGCGATGTACCTCGGCGTGGAGATGTGGATGTTCTTCGCCGCGCTCTCCTCGTCCTCCATCTTCCTGCGCGTCTGCCACATGACGCTCGACGACGTCCTCATCTCGCAAAAGTACATCAACGTCATCTTCTTCTTCCTCTGCGCCTACATCTTCCTCTGCATGATCGCGCTCGTCATCCCGCCGCAGATCATCAAGCTCGCCTTGCTCATCCTCACACAGTGCGCCCCCTCCCCGCCCGACCGTGAGCAGCTCTCGCCACCGCAAGCGTCGCCCCCTCCGCGCCAGGTGCGCCTTCTTCGCGGGACTGCTCGTCCTCAACATCGCCGACGTCCTCTGGCGCGCCCACGCCACACGCCCACGCCCGACCCTAGCCCACCAGCCTCATTCCTCGAGCATGCCCTCGAGGGCCTCACTGCACGTCCAGAGTGATTCCCCTCTGCGCACTCTAGTGCCCCCCCCCCCCCCCCTCCCACCCCGCCCCTCGTTCTGCCCACAGGCCGATCGCCATCCTCAAGCTGCTACTCATGTTCGTCTATGCGCAGTGCGTGATCATCTTCTTCCTCCACGCCATCCACACCTTCGCCGCGCGCTGGGAGCTAATGTGCACCGCCGCGTCGTGCTTCGTCGGCGCGATGGTCCCCGCTTGGCTCAACGCGCGGCTGCTCTCCTGGTCCAACATGGCGCTCCCCGCCCCCCTCGTCGCCCCCCCTCGCCTACCCCAGGAGCACGAGGTCACGCCGAGACGGCGTCTGCAGGCGATCGGCATCTTCACCACCTCCGTCGTGGTGCCGACGCTCGTCATCGAGCTCAACAACCGCATCGCCACCGACCTCAAGGACGGCGGCTGCTACGCGAGCCTCAGCTGCGACCAGCCCTTCGAGGGCGAGAAGGCCGCCAAGGCCGGCTTCGACACCCTCCTCGGCGTGGCGGCCTCGGTCGCGACCGCCGCGGCCGCCTTCGCCATCACGGGCGGCGGGTGCGAGTGCGTGCCTCCGATCCCGGTGCTCTGGTGCATCAACATGGGGTCGAGCGCGGCCGCGGGCTTCTGCGCGCTCATGGCCTTCATCCTCTTCGGCATGGCCGAGTTCTTCACGCTCCTCTCCCTCGTCAAGGCGCGGCGGAGGGGCAGAGCATGGGCGCACCCCCTCCCCGCCTCTGCAACAGACGCGCCCCCCCCGGACTCCAGGCCAACGACCTGACCCTCGTCGCCTCGCTGATCATCGCCTTCTTCCTGCTCCTCAAGATCCTCCTCGACTCAGTGTACGTCCTCACGACGATGCTCCCCGGCCTCAAGCTCGTCGCCTTCTTCGTCGGCCAGGCGCGCCCCTCCCCTCCGCCTCCCCTCTGCCTGCCCTCCCCTCCGCCTCGCCACCCCGCGAGGCCAACGCGCGCTCACCACACGCCCCGTGCGAGAGCAGGTCATCTTTGCGGTCACGCTAGCCATCTTCTACTTTGACGAGATCGTCGACAACTACTGGTTCAAGACGCACGGCAACTACGACCTGCAGGACTACGTCCCCGGCCTCAATACCTTCTCCGACGACGGGCAGCCGTGGGCCATCCCGGTCCGCATCTCGCTCATCTTCTTCTTCTCGACGGCGGCCACGATCTCCTTCTGCTCCTTCGCCCAATGCGCAAACGAGCTCGTCCACACCATCCCCGGACTCGGCAACTCCTCGCCGCCGCACCCCCCCCCCCCACCCCCCCGCTCTCTGCCCCGCCCAGAGCTCTTCTCACCTCGCCCTCGCGGTGCCGCCGCAGGCTGCCTCATCGACGCCCTCGGCCTCGGCGTCGTCGGGGCCGTGGCCGTCACCGGCGCGACGGGCCGCGGCGGCGTCGACTTTGCAGCCTATTCGACCAATGCCCGGGCGGTGACCGCGGAGGACATGGACCCGCTCATTGCGCTTAGCGCCAAGCCATCCGACGTCGACCCGGAGAGCGGCGGCATCGCCTACAAACGGCTCGAGCCCCCCCAGAGGCCGCGGCCATCGAAGAAGCAAGTCGAATCAATGCGCGGCGCCAAGTAGAGGGAGCGCAGTATGCCGTCGACGGCTCTGGGCTTATGGGTTATGGCGTGCATTCGATCACCGCTGGGCCCTCGTGTGTGCAGAACGTCTCGTGGCTGCCGGCACGTGCTGCGAGAGAACCTGCGAGAGAAGTGATATGTGTGTGTGCACTGTGAGCTGTGAGGATGAGATGTGGATTTTCCTTGAGCCCGTCAGCCGGGCGTGCCCCGTGCGTTTGGACTTGTGGTGGTGCGACGGCGTGCCGCCCGTTCCCGCGGCCGTTCCTTTTCTCGAATGTACGAGATGAAGCTGAAGGGCCTGAACGCATTGATTGCCTCTCAATATCCGGAATATGGTTTGTGACATTTGACAATTCACTTTTCACGCACCACACCGGTCACCGCTGCACACGGGCCACACGGCGGTCCCGGTCGGCGCACGTCGCCGTCCCCGCGAGGGACGAGGGCCACGTCCGGACACCGGACGTCCTCCACACGAGCCACTTGACAGCTCTGACACGTCCACCTTGTGTTGGTCTCACACCTATCTGCTATCACCTTTCGTGAGACGTGAGAGAGGTGAGACGGACTTAGACGTACAAAGGGTGTGTGGACCGTGAGTTGACGGAAATCGGAGGACGCGACCCACTTCGCCACAGACGGTCCCGCGCCTCGCCGCTAAGACAGTGGCACGCGCCGCTGAGCGGCGCGTGCCACTGTCCGGAGTGAATACTCCAACGCGCTCGTCGGTGACGGTGTCCTCCAACCTGCGCCGCGCTCGGCGAACCTCGACAGCGCCTTCGGGAGAGAGATTTTTAGCAATACCAAACAGGGCTCCAGGCCCCAAATGACGTGTGAGTGTTAGAGTTGCCTTCGGTGGCATGCATCTCTTTGCGCCTGAAGCCTGGAGAGCAGCTCCTCTGCTGCTCACACGCTCTGCACAGTTGGCACAGCCTACTGTGCGGCTGCCACAGCTGTCACAGCGATGGGCTCGCCCTCACTGGCCCTCAGTCACTTGTGCTGCGGCTTGTGTGAGCGACACTGCTCGGCGACTGCCGGCACACTGTGAGACCATGGGTGTGAGGTAAAACCACGCTACCAGCGCTTGGTCACATCGGCCCTGAGGTCAGATCCTTCTCCTCTGTTGATGGTAACACTTGTCTACTCGCTGGAGCCGAGCAGGAGGGCCCGGCGCACAACCCCTGGTCAACTCACGGGGGGTCCACACGTCCACACCCCGTACAACTTCTAATAGAGAGTCGGGAGTCGCCGTGAGCTCCCGTAACATTACATCCTCCTGCTGATCTCCGCAAAGTCCTGCTCCCTCCCTCGTCTTCGCCCTGCGCGTCTTCCGCCTCCCCGTCGTCTGCCCTGTGCGTCGTCTGGCGACTGGTCACCTACATAAAAAAGTTACGACCACAAGCACACAAGCCACAACCCCCCACATGCCACAACTGAGACGCGTGACACTCACGGTCACGCCTCCACCCCTCTTATCTGATTTTTTACGCTTGCTCAGCCACCTGTCGCCCCCGCCTCGCCAGCCGAGGCCGTCTGGGCTGCTCGTGGCGCTAGTGCCCTGCGAGTACGCCCGTGGCGTTGATTGGCCAGCCGACAAAGCGCCGCAACGCCTCGCCCGGCCCCTGCCTCTGCCATGTGAGGACACCGACGGCCACGTTAGAGACGACCAGCCCGGTGAGCAGCGCCACGATCCAGAGGGCTCCGCTCCCATCCTCAAAGTGGCGCGGCGACTTGCGCTCGAGCGACTTGAAGCGCAGCACGTACATTCGCAAGGCGTGCACGACGATGGCGGCGGCTGGGATGCTAAGGGCGAGGCCCGCCGACTGGATGGCGAACGAGTTGCGAGAGGCCTGCAGCGCGGCGCCGAGCACCGTCAGGATTGTGGCCATCTCGAACCACAAAAGCATCGTCCGCTCGTTGGCGAAGTACGACCTAGGCTCTACGCGAACCGGGAAGACGATGTGGGGATGACGGTGCCGTGCCGGCAGGTGGGCGGCGATGAGCCTCGAGACGAGGACAGCGGCGACGGAGAGGGCGAGACAGAGGAAGACGATCCGCCAGAACATGTGGAGAACTCGTAGAAAAGGCGAGCCAACACGACAGCGGCAGTCTCTTCGCGAGAAGTCGTGACGCCGTGATCACTCGGAGAAGGCACGAAAAAGAAAGTCGCGCGCCCTTTTATTTCTTTTCTTCTCTCTTTTCGCTCTTTTCTTCTCTTTTGCGCGATTCTCACAAAACACAAATCTCGATTCTCTCTCGACACAGGGCACGCGGTGTGTGTGTGTGTGAGTGTTTGTTTTGTGTGTGTGCTCTGGCGAGATGTGAGGCGTATGCGCCCAGGAGGGCGCATGCGTAACGACGCTGCTAGAGATGCCTTTCGGGGCCCAGAGATAAAACTTCCGATGCCATGCGTGACCTAGTAGTGTCCCCAGCTATGGGCGTATCACACACACACACACAACAACACACACACACACACACGGGCGTGTCCACGTTGGGAGAGAGATTTTTAGCAATACCAAACAACTCACGTTGGAGCCAGGTGTGGTGTGGGCGCGAGAATAGCTCCGCCGTTCATGGAGGCAACCGATACGAGTCGACTGGTGTGTGTCGTCCTGGTTTCGTATCAAGAATACTCACTCACACAGGCAGGGCACGCGGGACGGGCGCGCGCTTGCTCTCTCTCTCTCTCTCTCTCTCTCTCTCTCTCTCTCTCTCTCTCTCTCTCTCTCTCTCTCTCTCTCTCTCTCTCTCTCTCTCTCTCTCTCTCTCTCTCACTCACTCACTAACACAGGTACACTACGGGAGCCGCCAAAAAAGGGATTGGTCCCGTAGCGAGGAGGCAACAGAACCGGAGCCATTGACAATCCCTTTTTTTTTTCCGCCTGGTGCGGCCGCTGTGAAGGCTACCGCGACGGCCTGGCTACTGGGCGCGTTCGACTCATGACAGTGACGGTGTTGGAGAGCCAGCTGCCGCTCGTCGACGCGCCGCCCTCCTCCTCCTCTCCGCTCCGCTCCGGCTCGTCCCGCCGCTCGATCCTCGTCGCTGACCGCGCCACCTGCGACCTGCACGTCCTCGGCCTCGACGGGCGGCTCCGTGTCTGGTCGCAGCACGAGGCGACGCTCCGCTGCGTGCGGACGCTCGCGCCGGCCGTCGTCCCTCCCCAGCTCGCCGCGAACCCGGGCGCCTTCTGGAGGCACCCCTCGCGCACGCAGGCGCAGCTCGTCGCAGACGCCTCGGGCGGCTCCGTCGCCGCGCCCTCGCTCCCGCCGCCCCTGATGCGAGACCCGCTCGAGCTGCTCGCGCCGACGACACCCGGCGAGGGGCGGCTGATGGCCGTGGTGGGCGCGGCCGGCGTCGGCGTGCTGGCGCTTCCCGCCGACGGCACGCCCGGCCGCCGCGCCGCCGCCGCCTCCTCGGACGAGGTGTGTGACCTGCTCGGCCGGCTCGGGCTCGGACGGTTTGCGGCGCCGCTCAAGTCTCTCGGGTACGAGTCGCTGACCGCGCTGCACGCGCTGAGCCCGGAGGAGCGGCGGGTGCGCTCGCCTCCGAGGCGAGAGCTCCGCGCCTCTACTTGTTCAAAGCACTGGAGAATGACGGACGTAGGCGCTCGCGTCCGAGGCTAGCATGGCGCCGGGCCACGCGCGCACGCTCTCCCTCTACCTGGACGGGAGGCTGCAGCCGCCGCCCGAGCCGGCGGCGGCGAGCAGCGCGGCGGAGGCGGAGGAGGAGGAGGAGGTTGCGTGGATGATCCCGATCCCGGCGGCGGCGCTGCGGCAGCCCTCGGCCGACGCTGGGCGAGTGACGCACGCGGCGGCGTCGCCCTTCGTGCCGCGCGGCGGCAGCGGCGGCGGCGGAAGCGGCGGCGTGCGGGTGCTTCAGGCGGCGTGGCACCCGCTCTCTTGCAGCCACTTGTGCGTGCTCACCTCGGACTCGCGGTTGCTGCTCTTCGACGCGCGGAGCAGCCTCCACGCGCCCGACGAGGCGCTCGAGGTGCCGGCTCGCCCCGACGAGGCCGTCGTCGCCTTCTCCTTCGCCTCCCCCTCCGCCGCGGGCTGGGCATCGCTCGCTGTCTGGTTCGCCTGCTCCGACGGCGCCGCCCATATCTCCCCATATCTCCCCATATCTCCCCCATATCTCCCCCACATCTCCCCATATCTCCCCCCGTATCTCGTGCTCCGAAGAGAGAGAGCCGCGGAAGCGGTCTTGACCCTCCCCCTCCCCCCCTGCGGCGTGTGCAGGCGCCCTCTTCGCCGCCTGCCCCGTCCTCCCCCCCTCCCGCGCCGGCTGCCACCACCTCCGCTCCCTCGCCCCCGAGCTGCTCAAGACCGCCCCGACAGAGGCCGCCCGCCGGTGGGTGAGGGCGCAGGCGGCGGCGTGCGGGCCGCAAGGGCCGGGGATGGCGGGGCCGGGGCTAGGCTCCTTCGAGCCGGCCTCCCTCGCGAGCGGGGCGGTGCAAGGGCCGTTCGCGCCTCTTGGCGCGGACGGCGCCGCCGCGCCGCTCGCCGCCGCCGCGCCCCACCCGCGCCCGCCCTCTGCCGGCGGCGGGTTCGGGGGCGGCGGGGTGGGCGGCGGGTTTGGTCAGTGCGGCGGCGCGAGTGGAGGCGGCGGCGGGGGCGGCGTCGAGTCGCGCGTGCTTTCCGTCTGCGCCCTCCCGCTCAGGAGCGGCTCCAACTTGGTCTGCCTCGGCACCGACCGCGGCGAAGTGCTGCTCTGCCTGGTGATGCCTCTCCCCCCCTCTGTCCCCCACCTCCTGCACACCACCACATCCACCAGCACCCTCCGCCCTCTGTCCCCCCCCTCCTGCCCCCCCTCCTGCCCCCCCCTCCCCGACCCCCCCCCTCCCCGACCCCGCCCCTCCCCGGCCCTACAGGTCACCTCCCCCCTCTGCCCCCTCTGGGAGGCCTCCGCCCCCCTCCTCGAAGAGGCGGACAGAGAGGAGTCCGGCGCAGCGCACCCCGCCGCAGACGCGCCTCCTCCGCCCCCCTCTCTCCTCCTGCTGAGCCGCGTCCTCCCGTCCGCTCCTCCGCCGCCGCTCCTCCCCCCTCCCTCCCTCGTCTCGCCGCGCGCCGCCGGCCTGAGAGCGCCGGAGGCTGGCGAGAGGCGTGGCCCCGCACCGCCGCTGGCTTGGATGCGGCTTCTCTCGGACCCGCTCCGCTCGGGCCGCTTGTACGTGCAGACCGACGCCGGCGTCGAGGCTCGTCGCGAGTCCGCGAGTCCGAGAGCCGCGCCACCCCTCCACCGCCTCGCACTCGTGCAAGACTTGCGTGCCGTAGGCCGCCTCGCTCGAGTGGTGGGAGAATATACAAGAATAATAATAATAATATGAAGACTTGCGTGCCGTAGGCCGCCTCGCTCGAGTGGGTGGAGGCGTGGGCAGACTTCCTCGCGCTGCCGCCTAGCGAGCCGCCCGCCCCGCCGCCGCCCGCCCCGCCCGCCTCGCTGCCGACGGCGCGGCTCCTCCCTCGCCGCACCGCGGGAGGGGGCTGGACGCCCGCCGGCGGCCGCAGCGGCGGCGGCGTCGTCGGCGCCTCCTCCGTGGGCGACGGCGGCCGTGTCTCCGGACGGTTGCCTCTCAGCGTGTCCGTCCCTTTGCTGCAGGCGCCGCCGTGGTGTACGACCCCGGCCGCGGTGAGGCGCTCGTTGCGGTCGGATCCGACGGGCGCGCGATACGCGTGCCGCTCGACGACGTCGCCGCCGCAGAGACGACACTCTCGCGCGCGCTCGCCGCCGCCGCGCCCGCCGCGCCGTCGTCGGCCGCAACGCCCGCCGCGGGCGTGTTCGCTAAGGGCCCCGCGGCGGCCGGTGGCGGTGCGGGCGGGGGCGAGGCGCTCGCGGCGCTGCACGCCGCCTCCCTCTCCCGGGCCCGCCTCTCTCCGGCTGCGCTGTCGCAGCTGTCCGAGCTGCCCGCCCCGCTGCAGGCTGCCTTTACTTAGTCACCACTAGTCTTCATTAGCTG